ATTTTGTTTGCTACTTATAGTCTGGTTGTTTGGTGCATGTACTTTTTAAAATTTGGATGACTGAAGAGTCACATGAAATTATGTTGTTTCCTTGGCATATATTTATAGCAATGGAGTGACTGGCTCAAGGGGTCTGACCCCAGGATTTAGATTTCTGTTTCTAGGTCACATTCCTGGTTTCATGTTCAGTTACTATTTGATGTAGAACAATACAAAGTGAAATTTTGTACAGGCCTATGTGGCCGAGAGATCAGGCAAGGAAATCTGCAACCAGGCAAGGCACAGACTGGGCTTCTCTGGTTGGGGAATTTTCTCCAAATGGACAGTGGTCCAGCTGCCACCCCCTCCTCACTTTTAATTTCTATATTCACTGCCTCTCACCATGAATACCAGTAGAACAGGGACCAATGATGAGCTTACACTGCATGGGGACTGCGTAAGCTCCTAGGGCAGACTTCCCTCATTTATTCCAGTGGCAGGTACCTGCTTGGTAAATGTGTGGCCAAGATGGTGCCAACTTAAGGGTCAGTGATCAGAATGAAGTATAGAGGGAAGTTCTCTAAGTTTAAAACTGCTCTTTTGAAGTTTGAAACATGCTTACTGCTTCAAGTGTTAAGAATCTACTACTGACTGGTATTAAACATATAATATTCTAAAGTGTCTCAGAGTCAACACCCAAATGAGTTAATTTCAAATAATACCATCTTTTTCTCTGAGTCTCTGGGGTTTGGGGGTAGTTAGACTCATTAAAGATATTTACTTTATCCCCAGGTAGGTAAGAGGTTTTTGAATAAACTGAGAGTCCTCAGTTCAGCCTTCATTTCTTACAAATATACCAAAGTAGCTGTGCATTTCATTTGTCATTAAGATGTTTGATTTACCTGCTTGACCTCTGCACCAGTTCATTTCACCAGATGGACCCATTTCAGGTACCATAAATACTAGGTTCTACTGGATTTTCTTTGTCTGATGGAGAAACTGTGGGTTGAGTCTGAGTCACACACGTTTCACTGTGTCTCGTCTGGCATGAGATTCATATACATTGGCATCTTCTCAGAGTGAAGTTGACTGTCTTTTCTGATCCCCAAATTTCAGATGGCTTGTGATGACTCCAAAAACAGTCTGGAGCTCATTTTGATTGGCTCTAGCCATGTCAGTCTAGCCAGGTTCACTCTGAGAGGTCTCCTGTCCCTTCATGAATGGCCACAGAAGCTTTTGCTCTTGGCTCTGCATTCTAATAGCACCTCTTGCATGGATCACGCCAAAGCAATGCTTTGAAATATGCACCCGTACCATGTGGCTTTTCTTGCTGCAGTTTCTGTTCTTTTTTTATTGTAGGATCTGGAGACTCACCACTAGAAGACGATGGAGTCTGGTATTCACACACTAGACATAAAGGTGAATGCTTTGCTTATGTGCTAATGAAGACCTGCAGATGCCAGGAGAATTTTTCTTTGTGCGCTGCACAGCACGCTGTAATAAAGTGACCAGAGAACACCTTTAAGTTCTAGTTACCTGTCCTAGAAAAGAAAAATTTAAAAATAAATATTCTTAGGCTCCCATTCTTCAAAAAGAAAGCAAAGGGAAAACAAAAGAAAGAAAAAGAAATGCATTTGGAAATCTCCGAAATGCTGCCTTTCAGCACCGCAATGGTCATTTTATTCTCCGAAATTTCTCTACTGTTCTCACTTCTGCAAAGACAAGCTAGAGCTGACAAAAGTGAAAATCAAGCCCCAAGTTCTGCCTGATTCATACATTACAGCTAGAATGTCCAGAGTAAAGCACCCAAGGTCAACTCTGGGCCCCGTGCTGCTAATGTACTCACCTGAACGGGGGATGAGAAGCTTGATTTTCATGAGCTCCTTTCACGCTCTTTCTGAGCCTAGCATGGCTCCTAAAATAATAAAGTGTGATGTTGCTCAAATGAAATTTAACTTAATGATAAAGAACTCCATCACTCCACATTTCCAGCAATATTCACTCCCAGCAGGCATAAAAAGTCTAATCAAAAAGCTTCTATGCTGGCTCGGGTAAGTATATCCACAAATATTATTACCGCTGACACACTTCTTTGAAGCTTAGAGAGTGATAGGAGAAATGAAGGTAAATTTAAACACTTTTTATATGAAACAGATTCTTCTTATAACAGAGGAAAAATCTAAAGAAAACTGACGGATAAAGTTTCATTTTGATATGTTGCCCAAGAAGTGTGTCCACATTCTAGCAAGAAGGCACTGCCCTAGGCTGTTGTGATATATCTGAGCTGTGGGGCACTGAAGTAGTTCTGTTCAACCTTTGCTTAAAGACTGCCCTACAATTGTTTCCAAAGGAGGGAGGAAACTTTCTAAGGAACGGCTGCTCCCTATGCCCAGATGTGTTGCCCATGACATACCATATTTGCTTTGATTTCTGAAGGCAAAAGCTCACTTCTCCTGAGGATGTCTATCTACATAGTCTCGGGACTTAATGAGTCCAGACAAGCACAAACTTATTAGTCAGGTGTTTGGTGTAAGGAGATGCTCTGATTCATAAACCTTCTTAACTATATGATCAGTTTTTAAAGCTTTATTTGAGTCCCTTCTTGAAAATCCTTTCTAAAATGCATGCATGCAGAATGACTTCATATATAATGTAGGGATTGTCCAGTGTCCTTTGGTCATTGTGCTCAATGCCCACACTCACCTCACAGAATTTCAAGGTAGAAAGTAAACCATATCCCTAAAAATATGCCTGTCCTAGAACATGCCTGAATGTTTAAGATTAAATCATTTCTTGGTTGCTTCTATTGTAAGTTAAATTGCTTGCCTATAGGAATCATCAGGTATGTCTGCATATCTATATATAAACATTATATAACTTAAATTTGTATTATTAAAGTTTAAGATCTTTTTCTTGTTGTTATTGTTATGATTAACATTGAACCTAAGGCCCTATAAGTGCTAGCTAAGGGCTCCACTAAATGAGCTATACCCCAAATTTTAAGTTTTATTACTTTTAAATTGGGAGGTAAATCTTGATTAACCGAGACTTTAGCTTTAGAATCTCACGCTTTTGCAGTGTCTGGCACAGAGTATATACCCAGTAACTGGTGTTGAATTAACTTAAATGTAGAAGATGAAAGAAAGTAAATTTTAAATAACATACACCTTATTCCTAGTTTGTAATGTAGCATTTATTTATTTTGGTGCTGGGAATGGATTCCAGGGTTGATTGTTTTACTTAAAAGACCATAATAGCCAGGCGTGGTGGTACACACCTTTAATCCCAGCACTTGGGAGGCAGAGGCAGGCAGATCTCTGTGAGTTCAAGGCCACCCTGGTCTACATAGTGAGTTCCTGGACAGCTGGGGCTACAGGGAGACAGTCTCAAAAAGACCACCCCCCCAAATACCATAATATATTTACACTAACTGAAGGAAGAGACAGGTATGTAGAGATATGCCAATATTGTCCCATGGTTACAGACAAAGTAACCAAGAATTAAATAGGAGGTGTGTCTAGTGTCACACAGCCAACACACACTGCACTTGATTCTGAACAGGTATTTTGGCTCAGGTCTAGAATCTGCCACACCATGCTGCCTATTCCATAGACTCCATTTAATTAGAATGCTTATCACATTAGTCCAAGGGCATGAAAAGACTTTCGTGATTAATCGGTTTAGATTTCTACTCAGTAAACTCTGTCTTAACTGCAGAAGCATAGGAGCTTCTTTCCTCTAAACCTCTGTGTTAAACATTTGGTTAATTCCTTTAAACTAACTCACGGTACATGTATATAATTCAGATTCCAATCACTCACTGACATTTTGATTGGTGTCATTACATAGCTGTTAAACTGTCAAAGTATCTTCCAAAGATTTGTCTTGGAAAGTAATCAAAAAGGGATTCCTTTTTGCAAATCAGTGAAAACAAGATTTTTTCTCCACACGTGGACAGCAGCTTGGCTTTTTGGATGTGGATCAGTATTGCCAGGAGAACTTGGACAGTTAAAATTAGGGACTATGAATCTGCCAATTATATGCTGCTTTGAAATATGGGATTCTGGGATGTATGTATATGCACTCAGATCTGGCATTAATAGATCATACATATATGTAGTACGTGCAAATTGTATGTATAATGTCCTTCAGAAAAGAAGTGTTGTTCAAGAAAGGTCTGTAGGCCTGGTGTAAGCTCTGCACATCTGTATCCTCATGGTAAGAGTTAATAAGCTCTAGGGTAAGCCCTCTTCACATCTACCCAGAAAATCTAAGGAATGTTGCTTGAATTTAAGGTCCACTTACAGCTGTCTGAAAAACATCATATGATAAACATATTAGCCAAAGGGAATGGGAAAGCATCAATGTAAAAAAGTGTTCTATTCCCAAGACCTGGATAGGATCATTTATCATGGCTGACTAGTAGTCAGAAGTGCATCGTTAGGGAGAATTCCTGGGAAAGTGGAATGGGGCCTGTGCTCCTTCCTGGCCACATGATGGCGGACTTGCCCCGCTCACTGGCAGCACAGGTGCTAGTGGGGCATGATGAGCCAGGCAGCTATAGGAAAATAGCTGTTCAAAGCATTAAGAAACTTCCCTCCTCAGACTTGAGGGAGCTCATGGCTGATCCCCAGAGAGTGCAGAAAATTGATGGCTTGGCCAGTGTAGGAACGTCTTCACACGTAGTCTTGTCTTTCTATTGCATGGCTCTCAGAAAGCACCTTAGAAGGACATGGGACAAGTTCAGATATATTAGTGACATCCTAGTTATGTTCTGGGCAGCTATGAGAATAAAATCAAAATAACTTGAAAGCTTTCCATCTGGGGAAAGTGCCACTGTCTTCTCTAAATGGAACACAATTGGGGGCATGAGTTGCTTCTTACGGGTATCAATTGTTCTTTAAATGTAAGCCAAAAATCACATCCTGATATGAAAGCTGGTTTAGTTTGATTCAAATTAATAAACAAGAGTAGTGTGGTTTTCTTTCCAGAGAATATGCAGATAGCTGTGAGGGAATTTTAATTAGTCAATTATTGACCCTGTTCAGTATGTATAGATAGCTAGGGTGAGAATTCACAGTGACATCAGTTACTCTTAAGAGATGAATATATCTTAAGGGAAATACTAGAAGGAACAACTGTTTATTGAACATTCACTTTGTGCTCAGCACTATGCTAGGAAATAGATAGGACTTCTTTATCATTTTATTCTTATTTATGATAGTGTAGGCATAGGTACTGACTCAGAAAGGTGAGATAACTTGTCCAAGCTCACACAATGAGTTACAGAGGAACTTGGATTCATATTCAGTTACGTCTGGCACCCAGACCCACAGTTCTAATTTCATTATCTTGAGACACCTTATAAACAGAACGCCACTGAAAGTCCAGAATCTGTACAACAGCTGACCTGGGGTTGCAAGAGTGAAGGGAGGCATTTTTCCAAATGTGTAACTTCTTATTTCTTCCCCCCTTTCTTTCTGCTACCTGTAGACACTCCATGGTGCTCCCCCATCAAGGTGAAGTATGGGGATGTGTACTGCAGGGCCCCTCAAGGGGGATACTACAAAACTGCCCTGGGAACCAGGTGTGACATTCGCTGTAGGAAGGGCTACGAGCTCCATGGCTCTTCCCAGCTGATCTGCCAGTCAAACAAGCGCTGGTCAGATAAGGTCATCTGCAAACGTGAGTAGCCCAGACCTGTGCCCAGTCTCCAGGGACAAAATTGTATTGATCCGAGATGGACCTTTTCACTAAGTAGTGATTTAAAAAACTGCACTGTGAGCAGAAGCCAGTAAATTTCTAACGCATAGTAGCATAGTGGATGTGAGAGTGCTCCTTTCATAAAGAAGGGTATGCTGCACTGTTTGGGAAAAGGATGGGTAAGAGACTTTTACCAGTGAATTGATGTCATCTGTTCAGTAAGTACAGCCTTCTGAAAAGATTCTGGAGATTAGAAGCAAATAAGACACCTTTAGGGCCTGGTATAATAACACAGAGAAAGCTTGCAAACAGTTTAAACCATAGGATAGGTTCAAGAAGTGTCCCAAACCAGGGACTCCTGGTAGTACATTAAAGAAAAATAAAACAATGAAAAAGAAATGTTTTGAGGAGTGGGACTGAGGGATGCAGGGAAGAGTCACTGAAGAGGTGATGTTTAGTCTGTGTGTGGGAATGGCTCTGGGGAGAAGATGGGGTTACATGTCAAGGCCAGTGTCTTTAAGCTGATTGTTGTAGTTCTTTGGATGTTGGCTAACTCTAGAGGCAGAAAACTAGCTTTAACACAGATCCTCTCACTTAAAAGCTGTAGCACCTACATCGTTGTTTAAGTTCCTTTTGGATGTCTTTAGTATCCAAAACAGCCACCACTTACTGAGTGCCCAGTGCTTGCCAAATTCATTCAGTTTTTGCAATAATATATGACAAATGGTTGCCTTTGCTTTAGCTTCATTGTTGGGGAAACCGATGCTCAGGACTGTAGTCACGTGGTTCAGAATATGTAGAATGCGTAATTAGATGGCTGTAATACACATTTATCAGGGTTTCACCTAGATTTGCCCATTAACTTTTACCAGTTCTTGGTATCTGTCCCCCAGCTTCTGCATAGTTTGCTTTTATTTTTTATTGCTAGTATGGGAATGTGCACCCAGGGCCTTACGAATGCTGGGCAACTACACTACCATTGAGCTCTATCACTAGCCTTATTTTGACTTTTCTTGTTTTGGGACAGGATCTCAATAAGTAAAAAAGGCTGACTTGAACTTACTCCATAGCTCATCCTGGATTTAGGGATTACAGGCCTGTGCTACCAGGCCAGGCTCCATTTGCACTCTTCAGCCCTTCTTCAGAGAAGAGGAAACTTCTTTTGGAGAACTCGTTCCTCATTCTCCTTCTCTGCCTCCTTCATTCATTTATTTATTTTTGTTTTGTTCTTTTTTTCCCCCAGTCTGGGCAATCCTGCCTCAGTTTCACAGTCTTGGGATTATAGGCGTGAGCCACTAGCTGGGATGATTTTGTTATTGTTGTTTGTTTGCTTGCTTTTTTCTTACATGGAAAACATCTCACCTAGGCAGTCCTGTACAATAGCTGAGCCTTAAAGGACTGAGAAAGTCCAGCTTCCTGGTATATGGCAGCTTGGGAACTGCCATTCTCCCTCAAAAGCTCCCCTGAAGATGCAGGCTGAGGCTGACTGTGCCTGCTAGCACTGCTTGCCTGGTGCTCTCTTCATTTCTGTCCTGTTTCTCCATTTTCTCACTGGTTTCCCCTGGCAACACTTTCTTACTAAAGCATCAGCACACAAATCCTTATCACAAGATTTGCTTCTGGGGAATTCAGTCTGAGACTGTGGCTTGACTGTAATACCAGCCTAAACTAGTCTGATAAGAAACTTAGTCTCTTTTGTGTAGCATAAAAGCATCTATTGTTTAATTGCATGTGTTATAATAGGAAAAAAACTGTTCTCTGCATGCTTTCAGTGTCTAGATTCTGAAATTATGAACAAACACTAATAAACACTCAATATCTATCCTCTCTTTTTCAGAAAAGCGATGTCCTATCCTTGCCATGCCAGCAAATGGAGGGTTTAAGTGTGTAGATGGTGCCTACTTTAACTCTCGGTGTGAGTACTATTGTTCACCAGGATACACACTGAAAGGAGAGCGGGCAGTCACATGTATGGACAATAAGGCCTGGAGCGGCCAACCAGCCTCTTGTGTGGGTAAGAAAATGTCACAGCCCTCAAAAGGCACATGTTTGGAGAGGAGCAGTGAATCTTCGTTAGTATGGCAGATTTGAAAAGAAACACCAGTATTCCACGTGTGCATTCTAAGCAGCCAGCTTTGCTTTCAGAAGTAGCCCTCTGGCGTCCAGGTCCAGGCCTACTGGGCCCTATGCTCAGTCTCTATCATAAAGCTGAAGTCAATGCAGATGACTTCCAGCTGACTTTTGTCTCTTTCTTGGCCTGATATAGGCAGCTACCAGCTGGCAGAGATCTGGAGCTTTTCCGCTGATTTAATTCAGGAGTCTAGGGTCTGTCCTGCAGATCATTTAGCATATAGCATTTAGCTGAGTGATGCAGTGCCTTGGTTGATGATCTCTGAGAACCCATTGAGAACCACTTGCCTTGGGGCACTGGATTCCCTCCCTGGTTACTTGTAATAGCCACCTGAGTATCTTTCTGTGTCCTATGCTAGTGCTTCTGATTCAATTAGTCTGGCAAGGAGGCAGCTGGAAGAGGCCAGCAAGATTCTAAAAGCTTCTCAAACTGGTTATCCTGTGGCACATTTAGGATCACTGTCTGAAAGCAGTCGTTCTCAAACTGAGGTCCCTAAACCAGTAACATCAGCCATACCTAAGAGCTTGAGAAAAAATAAACATTCCCAGCTCCACCTAAAACAGGAATGATTAAACTTCGGAGTGGATTTCAGCAATCTGCTTTTGAGGAAGCCAACTAAGGTAATTTTGATGCAAACTGAAAGTTTGAGAACTTACTTCTGAAGCTCAAATTTAGGAGGAAGTTTAATATCTTTATACTCAGCACTATCAACCTTGGATCAGAATTGACATCAGCACCGGTGGGAACTCACTTCAAAAGACAGAAACTTGAGACCTATCCCTGATCTAGAAAGTCAAAATCCACCTTTGGATTTTGGTATATGCTTCGGACACTGAGGCACACAGCTCTAGGGCAGTTTTTCCAACACTGGCTGCCACCAAAGTCTGAATCCCTGAAGCATTGGTATTTTTTGAAGCTCTTCTTCAAGTGGTCGAGAGTCCCTGTCACAGAGGATCATTTCTTCATAACTTTGAGAGCTGCAAGGTGCTGTCGTTAGAGAATGTTCAAACCCAATCCCACATTCAATGGAAGAGACCTGAGAGGTCGCTTGAGTTGCTTGAGGTTTCACAGAGCCACGACTGAGATTACATCTCTAGGCTCTCAGACATAAAGTTGCTGAATCCAGGAATTGATTTTGTCCTAGGATATGAAAAGCAACTGACCATAGCAGCCTGGCTTCTGTCCTGCTTGTGTCTGTCCAGCCTTCAGCAACTTTCACAGCTCACTCTCCTAATGTGTTTTACTACAGAGACTCCTTCCTGACTGCTCATTATTCTGGGATGGGGGCAGGTGTGGTTACTTCAAAACTGAGACAGAAATCTGATGCTCTTCTCTGGGAACCAACTTAAGACAAATCCCCAGGCCTAGGGCTTTCAAAATGGCAGCCCTGTTCACTGTCTTCACTTTGATGTTATGACAAGGAGCCAGTTGAAGATGTGGTCAGCACCTTCTCTGCCAGAGTCACAGCCTTTACCCCAGCTTTAATCCATTTGACAAAAGCAACAGGCTCAAATAAAATCTCACATGACTGATGCACATTTATTTTAAGCTTCTTCTCTTATATGTAGGCATTTATATTGGTCAGTAATCAGAAGAGCAAAAGTCATTTTAAGTATTTTAGACATAAGAAAATGTAACAAAGAAACTTGGTTACAAAAGTGTAGGAGCAGCTGGACAGATGGTTTGGTGGTTAAGCAGGCATACCGCTCTTGTAAAGGATCCAAGTTCAATTCCTAGCACTCAGCTCACAACTTCCTGTAACTCCAGCTGCAGGGGATCCCATATCCTGTTCCAGCAACTGTACACAGGTGACATGCACTCACACAGACATACACGTATACAGATAAAATAATAATAATATATCTAATAAAAAGTATAGGGGGAGTTTAAAGAGTAAAACCACAAACATTTTGTATTACTTTTTCATTGTTTTGACAAAACACTTGTCCTCGACAACTTATAGAAAGACTAGATAAATTTTTTTTTCTTTCAGTCCATCATGCTCAGAAGGGCATGGCAGAGCAGATCAGATCACCTCATGGTGGCTGAGAAATACAGAGAATTGCTGCAATTTCTGGAGTTCTCCTTTTCCCCATTTTATACCATCTAGGTCTCCAGACAATCGAATGTGGGTCTTCCTCTTGGGTAATCATCTCTGGAAATACCTACACAGACATACACGGTGGTATTCATTACCCATCTCTTAATCACTTCTCAAATCAGTCAAGTTGATGATCAAGATTAATCATCACAGTGTTCTTATCGGCAATTGATTACAGTAAGAGGACCATCCTGACCGTGGGCTCTATGAGCAACAGTGAAATGTCAGTCACACATCCACACACCCACCTGGAAGCTGGCAGTTCTGTAACTGACACTGTCGAGAAGTGAACAGCTCTCATCTCAAAGAAATAAAGGAGATGGTTTAATCTGGAGCCAAATATGAGTGACCATGTCCCAGGAATACAGATTTAGTTTTCCCCAAATACCATGCTCCAATGTGGAAGCAGTTTTTTAGGCTTTTTTTTTTTTTTTGTAGCAACAGAACAAGGAAAATTCATGAATCAGGACACTTCCCAAACACATTGGTTGATACATTCAGTAGGCAGGTCACAGCAAAGAAGGGAGGAGAGGTTAAACTACATGTCTCAGATGCTTCTGATGTCATTCTTAGCTTTTTGATTGGTTGGGATCTGCTGTTTTGCTAATAAATACCTGACAAGAAGGTTTTTAAATCTGTTAATCACAGAATGTTAGGTCAGAAAGAGAGATGGGCAAGGGAATGGCTATTTAGGGGCTAAATGTAGCCTGAGAGAAGTGGTAATTAGGCTCTGGACCTGCAATGTTCCAGACTCTGCACCATCTCTGGAGCTCTAATCAGTTAATCAGCATTGCAGAAGAAAGTCAAGTTTGAAGACCAATGGTTTTTCTTGGAACTTTCATTCATAGCACCAAGACTGAGGGAAAGTGTCAAGAGCTTAGAAAACACTCACTGAAGGTGCTACCAGAAACACAATGGCCTTCCACTGCCTTCCTGACTTCTAATAGCATGCTAATGCCTTTTATTGGTTATCTGCAGCTATCTAGCACCTAGATGACAAAAGAATCTGGGCAAATGTTGTCTTAAAACTTTCAGTGCTGGCCCTAAAGGGAACAATATAGCAAACCTGAGCACCAGAAAAATGTTTTGCAGAGCTATCTTTCTCTGAAGATATGGACTCTCCTGAATCTTATAATGCTCAATGAAAAAGGTAAATGCCTGGAAATCCTGTTCAATGTGGGCAGTTAGAATGTGCAGAGGGACTGAGATCTGGATGTGATCCTCCTGAAGGCTGTGTCTAAGGCCATATGTTCAGATCAGAAGGGCACCTCATAGATTCAGCTTTCAACATCTTCCTGTGCTTTAATATATGCAAACTGCTCTTGAAAACAAACCAAATGAAATAAATTGAATCCCTGTTCCCTCATGTTGGAAGGGACTGAGATGATGGTGTGGGAGGGAAGAAGCCCAAAAACTCTTTCTGCTAAGCAAGCTTTGGCAGAGCGCTCTGGGGACATATTGCTCACATTTCCAGATTGTGCACAACAATGGAAAGAAAATGCTGATTGTTCTAAAAAAACAACAAGCACGTCTAAAGCCAGACCAGATGGCCCTGTAACTTGCCCAGAAGGAAAGAGAAGGAACTAAGAAATGAACCCCAATCCCAGGCAATTTATCCACAGGATAAGGGTCAAGCCTATTGGGGGAAGGGTAACTGCATGCAATTAGGAAGAGTAGAAAAGAGGGTGCAGGGAGCTATATACGAGCTCAGGGCTCCAAAGGAAATGAAAAGAACAAACTAAGCCAGCAATGCTTTTTCTGATTTCGGTGACAGACAAGCTGGACTTTGTCCCCAGTGACTTTTACGCCAAAGGTATCATTTGCTGTCTTGGCTTAATATGCACCATATTAGTTTAATAAGTCTGTTTGTGTGTTGGCAGGAATAGGCTTCCTTGAGCATAACCCGGAGCCTCAGCCTATTTTAGGAGCTGACACATGGAGTCTGAGTAATTCCCAGGTTTCCATACAACCTTGAAGAGCACAGTTTGGCCAGAGCTGTGCTGATTACTAAGAAAGTCAACCTAGTTCTCGTCCCAACTGGGAGGGAATGGGAAGACTGGGCTTTCTTTGACTCTGAAGTGGTCAGTTCTGAGGTCTGGCTAATTTCTAAGTGCCACGAGTTAAAATTAATTTTCTTATTCAGACTAAGATCTTGCAATGGACTCAAATTCATAGATATTTCAGAAATTAATGGGATGAGATAGGTGGGAAAAAGTGTACAGTGAGTTGCAGGAGGGTGTTAAGAAGCCAGCATCTCTGCAAATAGTTTTTTTTTTAGAATAATTTTTATTTAGGTAATTCTAAATCTTTATTTTTTATTTAGATAATTATAAATCTTTAGAAAATAGCTAGTATTACTTTGGTAGGATGTTTCTTTTTCTTTAAATTTTAAGTTATTTTTGGTTCCACAGAACAATGGACAGTTGGAATTAAAAAAAAATTCTCACTTAGAGATCACATTTTAAGTAGACTTCTCTCTCCTGTAGATCAAAACATTTTCTTACTCCAAAACAGAAAGAAAAAAAATTAAAGATTATTTTAAAGCCATGGACCAAAAAAAAAAACCTAACCAATATCTTTTGACATGAAGAGATTAGCCATTTAATTGTTTGACAAAGGATAATATATGAACCAACTTGCTTTTTGAAATTCTTCTCTTTTTATTTTATACTTTTCATGGAGTAGAATAGACATAGATTCATTAACATAAATGAAATTCTGGAATAAAAAATTATCTCTGAGACTTAAAATAAAGAAATAGACAATAGACTTTTTGCTTCCCAAGTACTTGATGGCTGGAGTTATCCAGTGTCCCAAGGGAATCTTTGTTGGGCTCCATTTCATTATTCAGTTGCTACAAATATCAGTAGGGTTAAGAATAAATATATCAGTGCATTATTACAGATGATTTTACATGGTTAATTTTTCCTGGGATGGCAAATTTACTTTCCATCAGGAATCTAATTTCAGTTTTAAAACCACTCGATTGATGGAAATATTGATCCAATTATACCTTACTTGATTTACCAGTATAAACTGAACAGGCAAACAGCTGGTGACACACTCCAAAATACATGAATGCTTAGTTGGACATCTTCAATTATGGTGCTTGCTCATTGTGTCCCTTCTTGCTTCTCTTGTCATTTCTGGAAAGTTCTCTGAAATATTTTGGTGCCAAAGAAATGAAGTCACTTCTCAGAGCCATCCAGAGGAATTATGCTCTCGCTGGAGGAAGCAAACAATTGGGCAAGTTTTCAAAGGCAACTTTTGCTTTGCCTTTGGCAGTCACTGGCTTCATGCGCCCCCATAAAATGAATGTTTCTGGTCTCCATCATCAATCTCAAACTCTTTATATTTGTCTCACTAATTTATTGATGCACAAAAGACATCCCAGAACTAAGTAGTTTCAAAGAACTATGTTGTTAATCAAAGATACTGTGGCTTGGAAATTTTGTCAGGGCTCCATGGCGATGGCTCATCTCTGCTATCCATGAGTGGCTAACGTGGCGGTGATAAAGGGCCTGGAGGATCCAAGATGGCTTTCCTAGCGTATAAAGCACTTCAGCTGGGGGAAAATATATTGGCCAGAGTCTGACTGACTCCCACTTTCTCTCTCTCCTTACTTCTCTCTCCTCTCTCTCTCTCTCTCTACACACACACACACACACACACACACACACAAATAGCCCCCAAATTATTTGTACTTTTTTGAAAAGCAGCTGGTAATAAATAAATAAATAAAAAGCAATAGGCTTTCCAAACGATTGAAGACTAAAGGTGGCAGATTCTGTAAGAACCCAGGTTTGAAACTAGCAGAGGACCATTTTCCTTAGGTTTTACTGTAGTTGTAGGTCAAGGCATTGGCCTGTGAACCTCTGTCTTATTTTGGTCACCTATCTGGTTAAGCATGCTAAAGATTTCCAGGTAAATAGTTCTGTTGCCACAGCTGATACAACATAATACATTTCTCTCATATTTTTTTTACTCAGAGAGGAAAATGGAACACAGAAAAGGGAGATGATTTGTCAGATGTTTCCAGTGAGTAATCAGCAGAGAACAGGGGTTTCACTGAGTTTTAGGATTTCTATACAATAACTGGCTTTTTAGGCATCTGGATTCAATGGGGAATAGCAATTATGTTTCTGTAGAACCTCTCCATTTCATTCGTGGAAAGTTAACAATTTCTAAAACCCTATGGTGGCTTTGACTAAACAGAGCACAATAGGCTTAGCTCTTTGGAGGATCGGCTGATGGACATGTTAATTGTTCTAATCAAATGAGAGAGAGGGCTGCTGCTTAAGGAGCCTTTAAAATTCAGTTCAGCTGCTGCTCTTTGTGGATGTATGGGGACACTGTGGCAAAGCAATCTCAAAAGAATATGTGTATAAAGATTGGAAGATATGAGCAGAGTCCCAGGAGCTTGTAGGACTCTGTTTCCAGATGGTCCTGCACCTCCTCCCTGGCTCTTACAATCTTTTCACTCCCTCTTCTGAGATCGGTTCCAGTGAGGGGGAGCTGTGGGAGTGTGTTATTAGGGACGGGGGTATAAGGATTATTAAGATTTCTTTGAGATAGTCTGTATATAATACACAAAAATTCAATAAAAACAAATTAAAAATACAAAAAAATGGTTGGACAAAGATGCTAGGTCAACAAAGGGCATGCACACAGAAGAATCTGGTTTATTAAAATATACTTAAAGCATGTAATGCTATATTGAAATACATAACTACAAGGAAATTCTGAAAGAAATACTTCCCAGTCTCTAAGTGAGAATGCTAATAACAACATTTAGTTCTTAATTTAGTATTTAATGTTACTTGTGAAAATTCAACAAACTGATGTAGAGATAGTGTCCATAGTGTCTAGGTTGGGGTGGGCATAAATGAAGGGTTCAGAAAATATCACTTATTATTTATAATGACTTATTCTTTGTGCTTGAAGGAAGTCTACTTATGAAAAATTGGGCCACTTTTTGACTGGTCATTGTTAGGCACACACAGGCTGGCTTTGGGAAGCTCTGAGACTGATCCTACAGATAACTTACTTGGGAGTGTGCTTGCTCACACTATCAGTACATCTAGTTGATACGAGGGGGCAGCATATCATCCACATGCTTAGTTTACATGACGTAGGGACTAAGTCTCTCTTCATTCTTACAATATTTCTCCAAGAAAATATGATAGCATAATGTCATTTTCATGAAAATTGATATCCTCCCCTCAGCTCCACTCTTTCTGATCTCCCTTTTTTCATGCGCATATTTTGTATCAAGTGGTTGCCAACTATATCTACCAGCAGGCAGCAGAAGCTTGTCTTTACAATTCACCCAAAGCTTTGAAATGGTCATTTGTGTTATTAAAGTATGTCTTCTATAACCCACTATAGTAAAAATGTTAAATAATTTTAAGAACTTAATTGAAAGTGGACACTTCAGACAGATTAAGTATATTCTATTTCATCATAACACTTAAATATTTTATCAGTTCTAAGATGCATATTTTTCATATTTTATTGTCATTGAAATTGGGATGCCTTTCACAGTTGATCATGACTTAAATTCAATGAAATATGACAGCTATTCAATTTCTGACTAGTGAAATAAGACTGCATATTCGCAGTTCACTGAAGCCTGACAGAATGAAAGTGAATTTGGATGGCTAATGGTAAAACTGTTTAACAAATTATTTATAATTTATTATCCTACGTAAAATGAGCAATTATTAGATAAGATACAGAAGAAAGTACGTGAAGACATTCACCTGACACGTTCAGTCTCTCAGAGGTGTTGTGATTCAGGACATTTAATTTTCCAAAAGGACATTTAATTTTCATACACGTTGTAATAGCATTTAGATAATTATTGGCTGATACATAAAGCAATGTAAAGCTGAATGGCTGATGCTCATTTTTAATACATTTTCTGCCTGCTCAGGACCATGGATTAGAATTTGTAATCCTTAAAAACTCCTCCTGGGATTTAACTTCAGCTGTGACTTAAATGAAACACAACTCAGTGTAGAATTAACATCTCATTTAATTCTAGCCCTCATTATCAGCCCATCTTGAAAATGAGTTGAAAATGAGGGGATAGAACTTCTAGTGCCAGGTCTTAAGTAAATAATCCAAGTCCCCTGAGTCTCAGCTTCAGTATCTGTAAAACAAGAGTTGAGTGACTCCATTACACTTCCAGGCATTCACTTTTACTTTATCCAGAACATTACTACTCTCTGCTTCCTGTTACATGTCATTTGTGGTAAAGGCCTCACCCTAATATGCTGCAAAGTCTCACAAATTTTGAATATCTGATTCTCTTTGACTTCCTGTGCAACAGTTTGAATGAAGCCTTGCTGCATTGAATTGAATCAAAGCAGGTGATAGCTAAGGTGCCTTTGCCTGGTATTTTATGATGCGTATTTAAATCAAGAGAGTCTCACTGAAGCTGAATGACTAGCTTTAGCTGAGTGCCTGTGATCTTGCCAAGTCTTTATGCAGTGTTAGTAAGTGTGGAGAGGAGGGAGCTGCAGTTGATGTGTTATCAATTCCCCCAGGACACTTTGCACTTTACAAGGACAGATGGCAGGTCTGTTCTTTTGCAAGTGAATCTTCAAATGGTCTTCGAAACTCAGCAGGAGAGAAAGGGCAAGATGAGGGAATGGGAGAGAGATAGAGAGTAAAAGATCTCTTCAGAAACAGCAAATGTCTAGAGGTCTTGGTATGTCTGACTCTGAATGTTGACTACCAGTTTAATAAAATATTTCTTGTTTTCAGATATGGAACCTCCTAGAATCAAGTGCCCAAGTGTGAAAGAACGTATTGCTGAACCCAATAAGCTGACAGTCCGGGTGTCCTGGGAAACCCCGGAAGGAAGAGACACAGCAGATGGTATTCTTACTGAGTAAGCGAAATATGAAACTGCAAGTTCATCTCTCTCTCTCTCTCTCTCTCTCTCTCTCACACACACACACACACACACACACACACACACTTTGGATGGAACCTGGGACTTTACCCATTATAAGTAAGCACTCTTATACTGAGTTACATTTCCAGCCCATACTGTCTCTTATGTGAGCCATTTACTACCCAGAATGGGAGAGTTTATCTATCCTGCTCTATTTGTGTTTCAGATCTGGTCCCTCTGGCCACCATGTAAAATATTACATATTTTGTCATATGCTTCTTCATTGCCTGTCTTTACTACAATATGTTTACATTCCTAAAGGCAATAACTGTGCCTGGCTATCATTAAAGTTTTATTGATGGAAGAGAAGTAAGAAAAGGTAGAGAGAAGAAGGAAAAAGGAGGAATCAAAGAATAAAAACTTCAACTGCTGAATTCAGGGATCCACTCTCATCCATTGACTGTAAAGAGGGCTCCTCATCATGCCCCTAGGCCTTACTACATCCTCACATCCCTTGGCAAACCTGTGTCTCCTATGCGGACCCAGACACTAGTGTCCCATGGATACTAATATCCCTCTGGATATGGTTTGATGCAGAACTTTTTATCCCTTGATTTTTGTCTGTACCTATCTCAATACTTTTGATTTTTAATTTTTTGATGACATCAAACACTTACTGAAGCTTGTGAGCAAAGTGAAAATGTTCTCTGGCTTCTTCCCCACCTCAATCCTATTTTTTTCAAAATTTATTTATTTATTATTTTTATTTTATGTGTATGAGTATACTGCCTGTGTGTATATAAGTGTACCATTGTCATGCAATGCCCACTGTGGTCAGAAGAGGGAGTCATATTCCCTGGAAGTGGAATTTCAGGCAGTTGTTAGCCACCAAGTGGGTACTGGAAATTGAATCTGGGTTCTCTACAAGAGCAGCCAGTGCTTTTAACCACTGAGCCATCTCTCCAGTCCCTCAACCATATTTTCTTGGACATTGCATTCATAGCTTGATATTCTTTTCAGTAAAGATGAATGGTTCCCACTGGTGAAGTTTAGCCACAAGTTTCTCTAGTCTATCATTTGGGCCTTTAATCTGGCAACATGTTACTTGGAGACCATTACTTCATGGGATCATGCTCATCTATGCTTCAAACTTCAGGCCTCAATTAGACCTCCCCACAAAGTTTTCATCCCTGGACAATAGGGTGCCTCTGACTTATTCCTTGGGGCTGGGGCACGAGGCAGGGACATATTATTTTAGAATCCCGTTAACTTGGGTTCAAAACAAAACATGTTTTGCACAATTGTTAGCAATAACAGAACATCTGCTAATAAGAGGATGTCAAGTCTCTTATGCACAATGGGATGTTTTCTTCCCGCACCCTAATAACCTTCTCCCCATGCACCATCTACTTTAAATAATAGTGTTAGTTATTTTTCCCATTGTAATTTCTTAAAATATGATCATTAAAATATTTACTTTTTTACAAATACATTTCATGAACCCCTTAAGAGAAACTTTATGCAACTGATATCTAAAAATAAGTCATATAAAAATAACTCACCATACACACACGAACATATATAATTAATATATGCTGCATACACATATATACGTATATACATATATGCACACACAAGAAATTAAAAAAATCACATCAGAGTTGGGGATTGAGTTCTGTTTATCCTTGACCCTTTAGGGACCTATATAATGCCTGGCCCAGCTGTGGCATACAGTTGGTTCTTAGATTTTTGTACCAGTTAAAGTCTTATATAATAAATATAAAACATAAAATATTAAGTCATCAGGTGATCCCATTTGTCTAAAAGACAGTTTTATGGGTGATCTGTTATTAGGTTTAGAAATGTGATGTCTTTAAAAAGTGCCTTAGTAGCTCCTACCCCTCTGTTCAATACAGCTATCTGTCTCCAGAGTTCAACAGCTTAGATACAGCTACACAGGCTTGGAGCAGGGTACTATGGGGAAGACGCTGTGGTAGCGTGGGTACAGAGAAGGCTGACATGTCTCCTGGTCAACTCATGCTTGAACTTCTTGCTTTCCTAGCATGTAGCTTGTGATTCCCTTTCCCAGTATCTTATCCAAGGTACTTTTATGCAGCCTCCTTCTGAGAAAGAAGGCTCTAGTGACAAGCTCTGAGATAGGCACTTCTTTTGAGCTCCCCTAATGGCTCCTGTTATTTTTATGACCAAATGAATCCCAGAGAAGTTAGCGGTCACTCATATTTGAAAGATTGCTTTCTTCACTTTCATCAGAATTTGTATTGTGCTATCTAAGGATGTTAAGATCTTAAGGCATCTAAATGCAAAAGTGATATATCCCATCTCTGAATGGTGAGATTTCTGACACTTTCCAAGGCCCTTCAGTTCATATGCCTTGTAAACACTCACTTCTATCTAAAGCTTTCCTTAATGGTGACTATGATAATTCCACATACCCATTATCATCAAGCATCATTATTCCAAAGAACTGTGATAAGGAGAATTTTCTTTATATAAAGAAAGATGAAATCATGAAATTTGCAGGTAAATGGATGGAGCTAGAAACTGTTATAGTAAGTGAAGTAACAGACTCAGAAAAGAAATCAACATATGTTTTCCCTCATATGTGGATCCTAGAACCAAACCCTGATAAGTGAGTATGTATCCAGACATAACTACAGGAACCAGGATAATGGAAAGGAATCAGGGAGGTAAAGGAAAAGAAAGAACCTGAAAGGGAAGAACAATAGGAAACAGGTGTTAATAGGGGAGATAGGGACAAAAATTGGGTTAGTTTAAGGGAGGGGGGAGGGAAGGGTATACAAGGAACCTAGGGGATAAAGGGAAAGAAGGAGCTCAAGAGAGGTAGGACCATAGAAGAAGGGTATTAATAAGGGAGAAAGTGGGGAAATGGGGGCACCTTAAGTGGGAAAACCATGATGGAGTGGTGAGACAATGTGAGAGATAAATAATGCCTAGCTAGTTTTGAAAACTAGAGGGAACCATGTTACTCCTACAGCTTACTGACAAATTATACATAGCAGATCAAGAAACATGTCTAGGTAAGGTTTATCTGAGAACAACTGGTCTTGGCCCAAGATTTATCTACATGGCACACAGTAATTAAAAGTACCAGACTTGTGGAACTAACGTTCTTGGATGTTTAACAGACATACTTTGAGGCCTATACTAATTTGGTAAGAGGGACATAAAGGACAGTTTTTGTTCCTTGCCCTCCTAGGTCGACTAGTTCTGGGGGACTATGAACATCTCTCAAAATGTCCTGTAATGGTGGTGGGTCACCAGTCCTCTTGATCAAGGAGGAGACCCCACCAGATGGACTTGAACCAGTGTCCAGTCTACAAAGAGGAGGGTCAACACAGAGGAATCACTTCCTCCACGCTTCAAAGCAGAGCCAACCATGGTCGAGCAGGACCTTTGACTTATCTTCACATAGGTGGAACTGGTAAAAGAAAGGAGCCAGGGGCTCCTCCTAAGCCCATGTGACCCCTGAAGGACAGATCCTCAAACGATCTTAAGAGTAAAAATAAGACAGGGCCAACTGTCTGTCCTTAAACATCCAAAAGGAAAGTATAACCAAAGATTAAAGGAGCCAATATAATTTCTTAAGAGTCCATATGTATAGTTAAAGGCTGCTTAACAAGCAACAATGCCAGATAGGAGATACTTTCTTTTGAGTTGTTAGCCAGGGTGGCCCAAGGGACTCCCATTTAGTAACCCAGCATAGAACTGGGAAAATGAACAGCAGACCCCAATCTTATCCAAAGGAATATTGACAACTGATTACCACTTGATGAGGACCATCTGACCCTCCTGAAACAAAGCCCTCTAGACAGGCTGACTAGATTCACCAGAAGGGCAAGTAGTGGGAAATGGCTGGGGTGCCGACAACACAGCAGAGAGTAGCAGGGATATCAGAGTATAAGGGCTCTAGTTGGGGGAGGGAGGCTATGGGAGGGTGCCAACTAGGAAGTGGGTGTATAGTCAAATAACATGGTTTGGGATGTTCTGTGTGATATACACACAAAAAAAATCAACAAATTTTTAAAAAATGTGTTATATTTGAGGAGGAAGCATGGAAATCTACATTATGCTAATTAGCAGAGGTGATAAACATTACCATTGAAATCCACCCAATGACTTCATAGACATACACAGATGCCAAGAGTCCAAATGCAACTGATTTTGACTAGTAATAATCAGATGCATACAGATTAGAGATGCAAGCGCCAACATCTCAGTGTTAGTAGCAAAAACAATGAGTCTTTCTGCAAGGAACAATATATTCTAGAATGAAATGGAGATCTTTTTAAAG